TTATTGATCATTGTGAAGAGGCAGACGTTTTCCTGTTGTTTTGTATTATAGCAGCTATCGGATCAATACATGGGCTACATGTGGCCATCACAAGTAAAATCATAACGAAAACTACGCTGGTAAAATATGCGTGTAGAAAACGGCTTATGCCACAATATGATAGCAACAAGTAGTCAAGATAGTCTGATTAGCTTTGGTTGCTATGCTAACATCACCTGTAGAAAGCCAGTGAAACTTTCATAACAGCGTTGTGATGCCGAACAGCTTTCCGACTGAAACACATTCACTTATGGGGGGGGGGGATATGTATCAGCTGCTTGTGTGACAGACAGAGAATACTTTACAGCGGCCGCTGCCGTGAGTTAACGGGAGAATAAACTCCGGTGGACGAGCAGCACTGCAGCGAGCAGTAATGCAGCTGAACCACATTAATAAACACCACGGCACTCTGGAGAAAAGTACAAGGTTGGAGAAGTAGTTCTTTAATTTAATCTGGCTTCGTATGATTAAAAACTACCCGACGCAGTCCTCTATTGATGTTGTTGTGAGCGGTGTTGCGGAGAAAATCAGCGACGTAAAACGCTGTGTGGGTCATAAGAAGGCATGTAAATGTTTACGTCATGACGCAAACGATGATGCAATGACGCAATAATTCACCTTTGAACCTGCATCTATAACAATGAGTGGACCAAAGAAAAGAAAAGTCAACATTGAGTGCCGAGTGTATAATGAGGAGTGGACAGCTAAATATTTTTGTATCGATCTGCTACTGGCCCGGCCCGTCTGTCAAATTTAAAACTCATAGTGGCCCCCAAGCCAAAAAGTTTGCCCACCCCTGCCTTAGAGGATACTTTGGGCAGTACTTGGTGGATATCTCACACCTTCACAGAGATATGAGCAGACACTGACCCACAGAGCCAGTGGCCTCGATGACAGCGGCCTCCGACAGAACCTCCACGATGCCGGCTCGGACTGAAGCCGGACTCCTGCTGTGAGCGTCCAGGTGACCGAGCAGCTGCTGGATCACCAGGTGGGAGTGCTGCGACTGGAACACACACACACACACACACACACACACACACACACACACACACACACACACACACACACACACACACACACACACACACACACACACACACACACACACACACACACACACACACACACACACACACACACACACACACACACACACACACACACACAGGAGATAAGATACAGTACAAGTTAATCAAGAAAAGTACTTCAGAAGCTCAACAAAAATGCTTTTAAGACGTGTTTTTATATATATTTCTGACCTGTATGGAGTACATGATGATCTGGAAACATCGAACAGCAAAGCTCCGTCCCTCCCACAGACTGTGGCTGTCCAGGTGCCTGAAACACACACAAAGTACCACTGATATAGTACACACGCAGTAATGTGTGTGTGTGTGTGTGTGTGTGTGTGTGTGTGTGTGTGTGTGTGTGTGTGTGTGTGTGTGTGTGTGTGTGTGTGTGTGTGTGTGTGTGTGTGTGTCTTACATGAGTACAGGTTTGATGGCGTTGTTAATGTGTCCGTAAGCAGCTCGACCCAGAAGCTCTCTGAAACACACCTCAGTCTGCTCTGCTGGAGACCCACTGCACACACACACACACACACACACACACACACACACACACACACACACACACACACACACACACACACACACACACACACACACACACACACACACACACACACACACACACACACACACACACACACACACAAAACACTTGAGTGATATACAAATCTTACAACCATTCCCCAATAGAGGAATGTGAGTCCTGTTCGCCAACCAAAACTCTGTACACAGATGAAAACCAGTGTGTGTGTGTGTGTGTGTGTGTGTGTGTGTGTACCTGCTGCAGTGTGTGTGTGTGTGTGTACCTGCTGCAGTGTGTGTGTGTACCTGCTGCAGTGTGTGTGTGTGTGTGTGTACCTGCTGCAGTGTGTGTCCTGCTGCAGGTTGACCAGCAGAGCGGGGACGATCTGCTCCATGTGTCTCTGCTCCCAGATGTTCACCTGCAGCTCGTCGTCCACCGTCTTCCTGACGACGCCCTGCAGCCCGCGGATCCCCGACACCCGGATCCTACACACACACACACACACGCACAGACAGACACAGACACAGACACAGACGCACACACGCACGCACGCACGCACACACGCACACACGCACACACGCGCACACACGCGCACACACGCACACACACGCACACACACGCACACAGACACACACACACACACACACACACACACACACACACACACACACACACACACACACACACACACACACACACACACACACACACACACACACACACACACACACACCACACACTTACTAAATAGTAACTTGAAATACCAAATGAATATATAATAATATAACAGACTTGTCCTGCAGGTCTTTGTCTCCGTGCTCCGTGTGACACATCTCACTGAAGCGAGACACGAAGAAGTCGTAGCTGCGGTGATACGACGGCGTGTCCTCCTCGATGTTCGCAAACTTCACAAACTGCACAACAACAACAACAACAACAACAAACAATGCTGACTCAGGTTTTAGGATTTATTCCTGATCTCACAATCTCTACAAATGTATTATTATCTTCAGTTGGAGTTTGCATGCAGTATTCCCCTCTGAGGTATAAGTACATGCAGTACAGTGTGTACAGTGTGTAGTACAGTGTGTAGTAAAGTGTGTAGTAGTGTGTAGTACAGTGTGTAGTAGTGTGTAGTACAGTGTGTAGTAGTGTGTAGTACAGTGTGTAGTAGTGTGTAGTACAGTGTGTAGTAGTGTGTAGTACAGTGTGTAGTACAGTGTGTAGTACAGTGTGTAGTAAAGTGTGTAGTAGTGTGTAGTACAGTGTGTAGTAGTGTGTAGTACAGTGTGTAGTAGTGTGTAGTACAGTGTGTAGTAGTGTGTATACAGTGTATATTAGTGTGTGTACAGTGTGTAGTAGTGTGTAGTACAGTGTGTAGTAGTGTGTAGTACAGTGTGTAGTAGTGTGTATACAGTGTATATTAGTGTGTGTACAGTGTGTATTAGTGTGTATACAGTGTGTATTAGTGTGTGTACAGTGTGTATTAGTGTGTATACAGTGTGTATTAGTGTGTAGTACAGTGTGTAGTAGTGTGTAGTACAGTGTGTAGTAGTGTGTAGTACAGTGTGTAGTACAGTGTGTATACAATGTGTATTAGTGTGTAGTACAGTGTGTAGTAGTGTGTAGTACAGTGTGTAGTAGTGTGTATACAATGTGTATTAGTGTGTAGTACAGTGTGTAGTACAGTGTGTAGTAGTGTGTAGTAGTAGTGTGTAGTAGTGTGTAGTACAGTGTGTATTAGTGTGTAGTACAGTGTGTAGTAGTGTGTAGTACAGTGTGTAGTACAGTGTGTAGTACAGTGTGTAGTAGTGTGTAGTACAGTGTGTAGTACAGTGTGTAGTATTGTGTAGTACAGTGTGTAGTAGTGTGTAGTACAGTGTGTATTAGTGTGTAGTACAGTGTGTAGTAGTGTGTATACAGTGTGTATTAGTGTGTGTACAGTGTGTATTAGAGCATGTACAGTGTGTATTAGTGTGTATACAGTGTGTATTAGTGTGTAGTACAGTGTGTATTAGTGTGTAGTATTAGTGTGTGTACAGTGTGTATTAGAGTGTAGTACAGTGTGTAGTAGTGTGTAGTACAGTGTGTAGTAGTGTGTGTACAGCATGGGCGTCGCAGCCATTATATGAGGGTGGGACAAGTCCCCCCCACTTTTCAAATGGTTAGTTTAGACCCCCCCCACTTTTACTATGCGGAAAGTCCGTGAATCGGTCTATCCACTCTCCGCACTTTGTAGAGCGCTGTGTCAGTGCTTCACTATCAAATGAAATCCATTCCACTTGTTTATTGAGAGAATGCCCAAATCAATGAAACTCCGTACTGTAGTGATCACTGATTCATACACTGGGGTTACATAATTCAATCCAGGAACTACAGGTTGGGGGTATTGTTTCGCACGGACACATATCTTCACGGTACCTCCGGGGTACCTACTGGGTGTTTCTCAATGTCGAGTAAAGCTGCTTCAGAGCCACTATTTCAAGCATGCTACGTCATCGAGTGCCGCCGAAGTACTGTTCCAATCTCCAGCATACTTGGAAATCTACCGAGCCCGGCGTACTCCGTTTGGAGAAATATCGAGGCTGCATATGAGTAGACTTCGCGGTCTTAAAATCCCCACAATGCTTTGCGCACGGACCAATTTCCCCAAATCTGTGGCGGAAGATGTAAGAGGCGGGGCCTCTCATATGACGCACACCTGCACACTTGCTAGCCTGTTCCACTCTTTGTTTTCCGAATGCCAGGAAGTATTCTTGACTCGCTTCTGAAGCAAGATGCTCGGCAGACATGTGCTACCAAGCAAGCGTACTCGCGATTGAGAAACACCCACTGTGTGTCCTCCCTTTCACTAGGTCTTCTGTTCTCGTGCTGCGACACGACAGCATGTGCATTTCTGCTGCTCAATAAAGTACAGATTTGCACCTTCGATGCACCGCCTCCGACTCCCTTCTCTCGGCACTACATTGGTGACCCCGACATAAGTCTCGCGAAGGATCCGAGACTGACTCGAACACGGCAAAAAGCGCAGCTTTTCTCGAAATGCCGGGGATTTTTGGAGACTCGTGCGCACGGACTGAGGCTCGGTGCGCCCCACGGAATGGCTGGGGACGTCGCTCGCCATTCCCGCTTCGTCTCGGCACTGGAGGGCAGCAAGCCTTCCTGCTACGAGGGGACGATGCACGACCTGCTGGGTTTGGAGGGACCCGACTTCTGCCTCGTGGAGCTGGTTCTTCGGGACATGCTGCATGTCCGGGCTGCGCTAGCTAACTCGGCTAGTGTTGAGCCCCGCGCTTTGGCCGAAGATGCTGGCCGGTTCCTCCTGGCCGCCCCGCGATTTACCCCTGAGGTGCTTGCCACTGCACGCTGCAGCACCTTCCCTGGTAAGGGCACGCCGCCTAGCAGAGGCTCCGGGGCCGACGACGACGACAGCGACTACCGGCCGTCGAGACCGGCTGGCCTCGACGGCTAACGACAGCTATCGACAGCTATCGACATCCGACTGGTTTTTTATTTATTTTTTGTTTTTTTGTGGTGCCGGAGAGGAGGTTCGATCACGTCTGGTCGGCCTCATGTGGATCCTCTCGCTATTTCGCCCACCTGTTTTTGATCGTGGACGGGACGACCCTTTGAGCTTTTTCTGGTGCCTGAGAGGAGGTTCGACCATGTCTGGTCGGCCTCGTGTGGACCCTCTCGCTGTTTCGGTTTCGGACGTCACACACGCCTGCTTCGGCCCGTGGGTGACGCGCTTCTGGACCCCGTCTCGCCTCTTCCCTCGCCTCGGCGGTTTCGGACGTCACACGTGCCTTCATCGGCCCGCGGGTGGCGCGCTTCGGGACCCTGCCTGGCCTCTCCTATAACCGCGGCTCACCTCGACGGCGCCCCGTCTGGCCTCTCCCCTGTCCACGTCTCCCTCCTCCCGGGGACACGGCTCCTTCCTCCCGAGGACTTCGTGCCCGCCGCCGCTGTGCCTTCGCCTGCGGCCGGGCAGCGCTCCTCCCTGCTGGGGACCTCCGGGTGTTTCACGCCTGTCCCCACGACGCGACCCTGCTTTCTGCGGCCCGCCCCCCACCCTCCGGTGGGGATGCCCTCGCCCTCGTTGGGGTCCCTACCCTCTCCTGCGGCCCCCTGACGACGGCCCGTTCCGGCCCGCCCTCCACCCTCCGGTGGGGATGCCCTCGCCCTCGTTGGGGCCCCTACCCTCTCCTGCGGCCCCCTTCCGACGGCCCGTTCCTTGGCCCGGCCCTCGCCGGTGGCCCCGCCCTCCTCGGCCCCTGTGGTGCTTCCTCCCGGACGCGAGGATTGTGTCCATGGTTGAATTCTGGGGGGGCTTGTGTAGTGATCACTGATTCATACACTGGGGTTACATAATTCAATCCAGGAACTACAGGTTGGGGGTATTGTTTCCGCACGGACACATGTGTTGACGGTACCTACTGTGTGTCCTCCCTTTCACTTTCTCTTCTCTTCTGCGGCTGCGACCCGACAGCATGTCAGTTTCTGCTCCCCAATAAAGTGAGATTTGCACCTCCGATGCACCGCCTCCGTCTCTCTTCTCTCGGCAGTACCATGTTTTCACTGCTACTTTGTACCAAGGCAGATTCTCACATAGCGCGCGCATGTTCAAGGAGTGATGTCATAGTTGGACAGCTCAGATCTGTTGTATGAAGCGATGCCGGTAGTGGAGGTAAGGCACACACACCAAATGATCAGGAAATGGTTAATACAGCGAAAATCAAAGCTGACGATCTCTTGGTTTGATATGTTTTCTCCCCCAGACAACATGGACATAAGAACATTTGTTTCAAAGAAGAGGAAAGTAAGTCATCAGCTGGTAGCAGTTAATCAGTTAACAGTGATGGCGGTGTCTCACTTCTGGAGAGGAGTTTCGTCTTTATGTCATGATGGAGAGATACAAATACTGAATAGTTTAGAAAAGGCATCGAAATGCCAGGTTACTAGTATTTATCATGTAAACAGGGAACATGAATAACCCGATCTCTCTGTGCTCATGTAAACACCATATCCCCAATATGATCATAACCGGGATAATACTCATACACGGCTTACTGATGTCCATGTAGAGACGCAGTCAGTGTGTTTTACTGGAGCCTCAGTTCGATAAGAGATTCTTTTCTGAGTTCTTTAACTTAGGTACTCTCTCTCAAAATGGTAATGTGCATTATGTTTTAATTATACTTCTTATCATTCAGAAGCTTTTTGTGTGTGTTTATGTTTTACTGAGTGCTTATAGGCTATTTCCATCCCAGTATTCAGTTAACTATTTATTTTCTGTGCACATTACATAGACTAGCTAATATTCTACCTACTGCTTGGGACTTTGAGTCTTCAAAATGTCCAATGTCACAGACTGGGACTTACTTTAGAGTCAGTTGTATTTACATTCAGTATGACTTGTTATGATTCAATGTGAAAGAGTATACTGCTCAATAAATAATGATCACTTCACCACCTCTTGACATCTAGGCACTTGAGAGTGAGTCAGAGGCAGAATACAGGGACAGTGGAGAGAGGTCCATTGCTGAGGTGAGTGATGAAAGGGAAATGACAGTTGAGAGTAAATTGTGATGTGGACTCTCATCCCAGGATTTTAAGGAAATCAGTGGGGATATTGAACAGGAAACATTTCAGTCAAGGGGCATCATATGACCAATATAGACAGAAGAGCAACATTTAAGTCAATGATACCATTCCTAGGTGAACTTAACATCCGTATGGAGTCAGATCAGTCTCAATATTAATAAATGCTCACAGAAGGATTCACAAATGTATTTTGCGATTTATATATAAATGACTCTCCACAACAATATCTCTCAATGCACTCACAAATATTTATTGTTGTATATAAATGTACAAAAAATGGGCATTTAAACTGCTTTTTATTAATTCAAAGACAGCTCTGAATTAATAATCAAATATGTTTCTTTCTTTACTACTGGATGAAATTACAAAATGTACCCATCATTTTCCTCATGCTAGTATAGCCGCATAAAAGTATCAAACCACCTGTTCAAATGCACCAGAATACAGGAAATCTAGATTTTTTTTTCGCCCCCACACCCCCCGTTAAAAATGTCCCCCCCACATTCAGGATGCTTCCTACGCCCATGGTGTACAGTATGTATCAGTGTGTGTACAGTGTGTATTAGAGTGTGTACAGTGTGTATTAGAGTGTGTACAGTGTGTATTAGAGTGTGTACATTGTGTATTAGAGTGTGTACAGTGTGTATTAGAGTGTGTACAGTGTGTATTAGAGTGTGTACAGTGTGTATTAGAGTGTGTACAGTGTGTATCAGTGTGTGTACAGTGTGTATCAGTGTGTGTACAGTGTGTATTAGAGCGTGTGTACTCACAGCGTTAGTAGCCAGCAGGTGCAGGTGCTGCCTCTCGTTCTCCAGCAGGAGGCGCAGTGTTCCCAGGAAACTCTCCACCAGGAGGTTGATGCTCTGACAGTGACAGGCGAGCAGCAGCTGCTCCATGGCCTCCATCGCTATACACACATATCTACACACACACACACACACACACACACACACACACACACACACACACACACACACACACACACACACACATTTTTCCACATGATTTATTTCCCTAAATACATTTAGTCATGCATAATTATTTGCATATAATACTTAATGTTTGCTTTGTCCAGCCCTTTGAGGCAGTTCTTGTGATTTGGGGCTCTGATACATGTTGATGTGATTTGATCGGTGTCACCTCCGTGTGTGTGTGTGATCAAATATCTGCAGTTAAATAATATGATAATAATCTGCAGGGATTAACTGATGATCCCTGTGTGAGTAAACAAGGCAGAGTTATAAATACATGAGTGTGATGCAACCGTAATCTCTCAGATTATTACACACATTCACAGAGAGAAGTGTGTGTGTGTGTGTGTGTGTGTGTGTGTGTGTGCTGACCCGTATCGGTGCCGGTTTAATTCCCTGGTCAGACGCTCTGAGAGGTACGCAGCGATCCGGTCCAGTTTCTCCGGAGCAGAGAGAGCAAAGAACGTCAACTTCTCCATGTTGGCCTTCACCAGACCATCCTGAACACACACACACACACACACACACACACACACACACACACACACACACACACACACACACACACACACACACACACACACACACACACACACACACACACACACACACACACACACACACACACACACACACACACACACACACACACACACACACACACAGTTCTGCTCTTTAATCCACACACATATCACAGTGAATTTACCCTTTGTTTAAATGTGTGTGTGTGTGTGTGTGTGTGTGTGTGTGTGTTTACCTCAGGGTCTTCTGGGAAAATATTATCGACCAGCCTCTTATATCGGGGCCGCAGCGCCCAGCAGCATCCGCACAGACCTGCACACACACACACACACACGCACACGCACACACACACACACACACACACACAGACACACACACACACACTTAATCCTGCGCTGCTTGTTGCGTAATCTTTTTTTTTTATCGCTGCAGGTCACATGTTGAAATCCCCAAACCGACCTGCCTCTGAGCAAGGCACTGAGAAATACTTAAAACAACCAATTAAAAGCACTCAATTAGCTGGCTCTGTCGTGATTGGTTAACAGCTGAGAGGTGTCCCGCCCCCTTAGTCTATCACCTACAATGTGTTCAAACATTCAGGTAATGAATAATTTAAAAGAATATAAACAATAATAGTAATAAATATATAATAATAAGAATAAAATTCACAATAATGACATGTTTAAATATTACTCAGTCAATAATACAAAATAAAATAAATAATAATATAATAAATAATAATAATATTAACAATAATGAATATTCCTCACCGTACATGAAGACGACTGCTGCAGTTCACATTCAAACTGTCCTCTCTTCTCACACACACACACACATTTGTGGTTAATCCTCCACACACACACACACACACACTGGCCCCGCCCCCTTTGATTCAGCCTCACGTTAAAACCTTGTATCTCCACTCTGAATACATTTCAGAATAAAATACATTTTGGAGATTCAAGGTTTTTCACGTTTGTCGATGTCACACAGAAGATTAGTGTGTGTGTGTGTGTGTGTGTGTGTGTGTGTGTGTGTGTGTGTGTGTGTGTGTGTGTGTGTGTGTGTGTGTGTGTGTGTGTGTGTGTGTGAGATCCGGGCCATGTGCAGCAGCTCAGCTATAATCTGGATTTATTTATCGTTCCAGCAGAAATGGGAACCAAATAAAAAGCTGCAGGATTTCTCTGTTATTATTGAGTGAATATTCTTTACTTTTCAAGACTCTTTAAAGGATATACTTCATATTTGGGGGTTTCGTTTACACTTTTGTGATGTTTGAATTGACTTAACGGCTTAATTAAGACAACAAGTAGCAAAGAAAATGTCCAAATGATCACTTAATAAATAATGAGTTGAATGTGTAATAGTGCCTTGCTGTTACCTGCAGGTGTCTGATGGTCGATCACAGAACAGACGTCCTGAAACAACCGCCGAGGAGTCTGGGAAACGGAGGCAGAAACGGCGACCACCCTCGGCATGCTGGGTAAACTGGGCATTCTGGGTAAACTGGGAAAACTGGGCATTCTGGGTAAACTTGGCATCCTGGGTAAACTTGGTATTCTGGGCAGACTTGGCATACTGATGCCCCTCGGCATGCTGGGTAAACTCGGCGGGTTGATGCCCCGGGGCAGCGAGGGCATGGTCATCCCCCGCGGCATGCTGGGAAATCTGGGCAGAGTCCCGGGCATCTCCTCAGCGATTGGCCGTTGAATGAGGAGGTGAAGGAGCTGCAGGAGGAGAAAGAGGAGAACAAGAAGGAGTTAACATTCCTGTAAACATTAACTCCTTCACCTCCTCTTTAAAGAGTCTCTACTTTAAAGAGTCTCTACTTTAAAGAGTCTCTACTTTAAAGAGTCCTCTCCTGCTGATGTTCAGGTGTATATCAGCATGTAGTGTCTCTTCTTTAAAGAGTCCTCTCCTGCTGATGTTCAGGTGTATATCAGTATGTAGTGTCTCTACTTTAAAGAGTCCTCTCCTGATGATGTTTCAGGTAGTATTATCAAGTATGTAGGTGTCTTCTTACTTGTTTAAAGAGTCCTCTCTGCTGATGTTCAGGTGTATATCAGTATGTAGTGTCTCTACTTTAAAGAGTCCTCTCCTGCTGATGTTCAGGTGTATATCAGTATGTAGTGTCTCTACTTTAAAGAGTCCTCTCCTGCTGATGTTCAGGTGTATATCAGTATGTAGTGTCTCTACTTTAAAGAGTCCTCTCCTGCTGATGTTCAGGTGTATATCAGTATGTAGTGTCTCTACTTTAAGAGTCCTCTCCTGCTGAGTTCAGGTGTATATCAGTATGTATGTGTCTCTACTTTAAAGAGTCTCTCCTGCTGATGTTCAGGGTGTATATCAGTATGTAGTGTCTCTACTTTAAAGAGTCCTCTCCTGCTGATGTTCAGGTGTATATCAGTATGTAGTGTCTCTACTTTAAAGAAGTCCTCTCCTGCTGATGTTCAGGTGATATCAGATGTAGTGTCTCTACTTTAAAGAGTTCCTCTCCTGCTGATGTTCAGGTGTATATCAGTATGTAGTGTCTCACTTTAAAGAGTCCTCTCCTGCTGCTGTTCAGGTGTATGTTCAGTATGTTAGTGTCTCTACTTTAAAGAGTACTCTCCTGCTGATGTTCAGGTTGTATATCAGTATGTAGTGTCTCTACTTTAAAGAGTCCTCTCCTGCTGATGTTCAGGTGTAATCAGTATGTAGTGTCTCTACTTTAAGAGTCCTCTCCTGCCTGATGTTCAGGTGTTAATCAGTATGTAGTTGTCTCCTACTTTAAATGAGTCCTCTCCTGCTGATGTTCAGGTGTATATCAGTATGTAGTGTCTCTACTTTAAAGAGTCCTCTCCTGATGATGTCAGGTGTATATCAGTATGTAGTGTCTCTACTTTAAGAGTCCTCTCTCCTGCTGATGTTCAGGTGTATATCAGTATGTAGTTGTCTCTACTTTAAAGAGTCCTCTCCTGCTGATGTTCAGGTGTTATCAGTATGTAGTGTAGTGTCTCTACTTTAAAGAGTCCTCTCCTGCTGATGTTCAGGTGTATCTCAGTATGTAGTGTCTCTACTTTAAAGAGTCCCTCTCCTGCTGATGTTCAGGTGTATATCAGTATGTAGTGTCTCTACTTTAAAGAGTCCTCTCCTGCTGAATGTTCAGTGTGTATTATCCAGATATGTAGTGTCTCTACTTTAAAGAGTCCTCTCCTGCTGATGTTCAGGTGTATATCAGTATGTAGTTGTCTCTACTTTTAAAGAGTCCTCTCCTGCTGATGTTCAGGTGTATATCAGTATGTAGTGTCTCTACTTTAAAGAGTCCTCCTCCTGCTGATGTTCAGGTGTATATCAGTATGTAGTTGTCTCTACTTTAAAGAGTCCTCTCCGCTGATGTTCATGCTGTATATCAGTATGTAGTGTCTCTACTTTAAAGAGTCCTCTCCTGCTGATGTTCAGGTTGTATATCAGTAGTAGTGTCTCTACTTTAAGAGTCCTCTCCTGCTGAGTTCAGGTGTATATCAGTATGTAGTGTCTTACTTTAAGAGTCCTCTCCTGCGATGTTCAGGTGTGTAATCAGTATGTAGTGTCTATACTTTAAGAGTCCTCTCCTGCTGATGTTCAGGGTGTATCAGTGTAGTGTCTCTTACTTTAAAGAGTCCTCTCCTGCTGATGTTCAGGTTGTATAAGTATGTAGTGTCTCTACTTTAAAGAGTCCTCTCCTGCTGATGTTCGGTGGTATATCAGTATGTAGTGTCTCTACTTTAAGAGTCCTCTCCGCTGATG